TGTCATTTATTTATTTTATTTGACATCAAGGTGTATGCCGTGCCTCCAAGCTTTCTTACTAGTTTTGCTAATAAACGTTCTACGTTTCTTATTTATTTGGTATAAACGTTCACATGTTTACTTACCCTATTTCCAGTTTTGTATACCTATTTAAACTCAATGTAAGTTATTTGTTATTTTATATTAGGCATAGCCTGCCCTATAGCATGGTGTATTTTTATTTGTTTGAAGGAAAGCGAGGAAAAGAGGGAAAATTGAAACGAACTAAAAACGAACAATTGCTCTACGCCGAATTGCCGCTATTTGAAAGTGAAAGTAAAATGCGCACGGCGCTTTTAAGCTATTTAAAAGCGAAGGAAAGCGAGGAAAGGAGGGAAAATTGAAACGAACTAAAAACGAACAATTGCTCTACGCCGAATTGCCGCTATTTGAAAGTGAAAGTAAAATGCGCACGGCGCTTTTAAGCTATTTAAAAGCGAAGGAAAGCGAGGAAAGGAGGGAAAATTGAAACGAACTAAAAACGAACAATTGCTCTACGCCGAATTGCCGCTATTTGAAAGTGAAAGTAAAATGCGCACGGCGCTTTTAAGCTATTTAAAAGCGAAGGAAAGCGAGGAAAGGAGGGAAAATTGAAACGAACTAAAAACGAACAATTGCTCTACGCCGAATTGCCGCTATTTGAAAGTGAAAGTAAAATGCGCACGGCGCTTTTAAGCTATTTAAAAGCGAAGGAAAGCGAGGAAAGGAGGGAAAATTGAAACGAACTAAAAACGAACAATTGCTCTACGCCGAATTGCCGCTATTTGAAAGTGAAAGTAAAATGCGCACGGCGCTTTTAAGCTATTTAAAAGCGAAGGAAAGCGAGGAAAGGAGGGAAAATTGAAACGAACTAAAAACGAACAATTGCTCTACGCCGAATTGCCGCTATTTGAAAGTGAAAGTAAAATGCGCACGCCGCTTTTTAAAGGCGAAGGAAAGCGAGGAAAAGAGGGAATGCCTCGCCCCGCCCCTACGGTGATACCGGTATTACCGGTGTTGTCACACGTCGATTAACTGGTGGGAAAATTTCCTCACCGTCACAACCCTAATGGTCTTTAAAAAAAAAAAAGAGTTTTTACTGGTAGATAGTTCAATAACATTGAATGCATGTGCCATGTAAAAGGCCTAGATTAATAACTGTAGAAGTCAAGAGGTTTAAATACATGTGAATGTACACAAAATCTTTAATAACATTTTTCAAGGCAAAACATTTTTTTTTCCAACTATCAAGAAAACCCCATTTTTACAAGCATCCATTCTGTGATGTAATTTTATGTTTCATGATGAAAATGACTTCCTGCATGTTGGTTACACCTCATTGATGTAACTTGGAGGAATTATGTTTTTCTTTTTCTTTTCTTTTTTTTAATGATAACAACATTACTTTAAACTACTGTTGAAAAATTTGGGGTTAGTAGGGTTTTTTTTATATATAATTTATATTTTTATTCAGGAAAGAGGTATTAAATTGATGGAAAGTGACCGTAAAGACATTTGTTACTTTGTATTTGTATTATTATGAACTTTGTATTCATCAAGGAATCCTGAAAAAAGTATCACGGTTTCCACTAAAATGTTAAGCAGCAAAACAATTTTGAACATTGATATTAATCAGAAATGTTTCTTAAGCAGCAAATCAGCATATTAGAATGATTTCTGAAGGATCATGTGACACTGAAGACTGGAGTAATGATGCTGAAAAATAAAGGAATAAATTACATTCAATAAAAATATGTTAAAATATAAAATAGTTATTTTAAATTGTAATAATGTCATATTTTTTTTACTGTATTTTTGAAAATCATAAATCTGCATTGGTGAGACTACTTTCAAACATTAAAAAAACAACACCAAACCTCTGAACAGTAGTGTATTTAAAATGAAAAATAATAGTAGTAATAATAATTATTGTTAGAATAATAATACAAAAACCTACATAATGTTTTTTTTTCTTCCCAAGACTTCTATCAAAGTACATTTTAATTCAGGAAGTGAAAACCTGTCTATTGTAGAAGGTGTGTATTAAGGTTTTTATTTTTATAATGTATTTTTCAATTAATTAATGCTACATTTCTCACTTTTTGTTGACTTACGCAGAGACACATACCTGTTCCTCATGAGCGTTCTAAGAAACCTGCGAGTAAAGAGGTGCAGCGGGACCCCAGCCCGCCTCCATCATTTGTTCCTGAACCCCCTAAGGTCAGTCTCTCATTTCCATTATAGCTCCTTTTCCTCCCCTGAGGCCTTCCTTTGGCCCATTACAGACAGTAAGTGAGTTCAAACACCTGGTATTCCTGCAGGTCCGGGCAGCTTCACGTCCTGCAGACGCCAGGAGTTTGGACTCTCGTTCCAGCAGCACAGTCAGCAGTGATGCTCCTGTCGGTAACAAACCTCTTCCACCGCCGGTAGCTCAGAGGCCCAGTTTCACAATGAAGACGGGCCCAGCTGACGATACGACCTCTAACCCTGTTGTCGACCCCGCCAACCGCACCTTCCGGGGAAAGGTGAAGGCCTTTGAGCAAATGGACCACCTGGCCCGGGCCAAAAGGATGCTTGAGCTGCAGGAGGCCGAACAAGCACGGGTTTGTGTCTCGTCTCATACACACAATACACCAGCTACTGTATGTCTGATAGCAGGAGCCTCACAGATACAAGAAATGTTATATATCGCCCCAAAATCACGAGAAAAATATTTATATATTTGCATAAAGTGAAGGAAATAAATAAATAGACACATTTTACATTTGTTTATTTTCATCATTGTCATGGCAATTAAGCATATATTTTAGTTTATGCTGATTTTAATTAGAACAAAAAATTGTCTAAACAGGATGATTTAAGGTAAAATATACAAATATATAGAATATATAAAATATATAATTATAACGTTATTTTATATATGTGTATAATATTTTTTATTTATTTAATTAATATTTGTGTGTATGTAATGTACACATGTATGTATGTCTGTAATATTATTTCCTGTCATTTAAATTGTATATAAATTAAAAGAACAGAAAATGTATAATACAATATATATATATATTCTTTTCTTTTCAGTTTTGGGGTGAATATGACCTGGACATTTATTTTCGAAATTCATCTATTAATAAAAATTAGTTTCCAGAAAATTGAAGTCAATGAAATTCTTCATAAGAAAATCACTCCAAAATCACAAGGAAAATATGTTTTCTTATATTTCAAATATTTATATTTTTGCATAAAGAAAATGAAAATCATTTTTATTTATTTTCATTATTGTCATGAGAGTTAATATATATATTTCACTTGATTTGAATTTAAAACAAAAAAATTGTCTATAGGCTTATTTGGGGTAAAATTTACAAAGTACAATTATACCATTTTTGTTACTTTACATTTATGTATGAGGATGTGTGTGTGTGTATTAAAAGAACAAAGAAGAATATATATATATATATTCTTCTTTGTTCTTTTAACACTTTGTTCTTTGAAATATGACCTGGATATTTAAATTTGAAATTCATGATTTCTGACAAATACAGGTTCCAAAAATTGAATTCATTGAAACTCATAAGAATAATGTTTTTGGTTAACAGCTGGAAATATCTCAGAAACATCCAGATATTTATGCAGTTCCCCACAAGCTAAAACCAAACCAAAACAGGCCTCAACCAATTGGGTAAGTTTGTTCTTGGGCTTTTTTTCCCCCACTAATAACTCATTTCAACACACAACCCATCAGTAATGGCTCTGTTCCCTTCAGCTCCAGCTCAAACTCTGAGTCCCAGAGCTCCTCCAAACCGCCGTATTCAGAGAGCCGCTCTCACAACCGCGCCGATGATGATGATGATGAAGAGGAGTATCGACGCCAGCTGGCAGACCAAACCCGCAGAGGCTACTACAGTGCCCAGAAATACAACAACACTGAACTCTAACACCCAATCTCCCAAAAACCGTCAGAGCAGAAGAAGCCGAGTCTCTTCACTGCGTCCGTCTGTGTTGGGATGTTTCCTGTGCATGTCGTTATAAAGCAAATGAATGTGCTTCTAGTTGTTGTGTGAGTAAGAGGGACTGACATGAACCACAGATAAAGCACGAGATAGTGTTTGCCACAAACACACATGCAGTATATACATACCATTTATAAAACAGCATCTTTTTATACCTGCAATGTTTTTATATGAAATTTCAGTGTATATTTCATGTCTGCCTGTAGTGTTTTTTTTTCCCACAATGCTTCTAGATGGAGTTAACGTTACACTGTCCTCATTTACACTGCTGAAGTTTGCCATAAACCAAAAGTGAAATTGGTTTAAATGTTATTTTCCAAAACATTTGCTGGAGTGCCTTAATGTCATTGATCAAACATGTATTAACTTATGCTTAGCTAATGCTTGCTCCATATATTACTGTGCTCTAATTATGTTAAAAACTGTCTTCACATCAGTTTTTATATCGATTCTCTGAGAATATAAGAAGATCATGTGTAATGTTCACAGTATTGGTGTGTCTGTGATCAGTGCTTTGGGTTTAACCACTAATAAAACAAGAGTTGTGGGATTTTTAAAGACAAATCAATAAACCTGACTTTTAATGTTGTTACTTTTGCTTGTCGTTATTCATGCTTGTCTCACTATTACTATCAATAACCCAAACCATATCTAGAGCAGAAATTAACCAATTCTGATAGATTTTTTAATGTTCGTCTCTACAATATTTTATAGTAATTACCATTATTAATTGTGCTTTTATATTTATCTACAAAAGTTCTGCAATCTAAATGGTTGCAAATTTACGTTGCTGTCTACAGAAATGAATGCGTTTACTCGTCATGGATGCATTAAATTGATCAAATATAAAACACATTGGTACAAAAAAATTTTTTTTAAATAAGTATCACCGTTTCCACAGAAATATAAAGCAGCACACTTGTTTTCAACACTGATGATCAGAAATGTTTTTTTGATCAGCATATTAAAATGATTTCTGAAGGATCACGTGACACTAAAGGCTAGAGTACTGCTTTTTCTGCGTTTTGGACTCTCCAAATGCTAAGTTTAAAATTTTACAATGTTTCCTACATTACATGAGTTACTTTAATTGTGACTGCTGTTGTTTTCTGTTAAACCCACAACAGTGTAATAGTGTTGAACGTTTAGAGACCCACCAAATGCTTTTATTTAAGAGCAGCTTAACCAGAAATGAAAGTAAAGTCAGATTATCACTTTAATCTAGAGACCTTGGGTCAAAACATATATAAATGTGTTCTATAGAAAATGTACAACTTTAATGAAAACAAACCAGTGTAAATATTTAGTTCACTGATTCCTTTACTTTGAGTTGACTGATGACAACAGTAGAGCTCATACATCAGATCTGTGTCAGTAAGAGTTCGACTGAATCCTGTATTACTGTGCTCAGTGCCATTGATCTCTGTGATAGTTTAGGTCCAGTCGTGTGTCGGGCACATGATTGATCTCCATTCACTTCTCTTTGGTACTAATGCCAGGCGTTCAGAGATCAGTCAGACCAGAGAGATTAAGGCAGGTCACATGGTGCCGGAATGGTTTGGTTTCTGCACTAATGTGTAATAAATAAATACATCCAGTTAAATAAATCTGTAAACAGTTATATTAATCTTTCAATAAATAATAACTCTGGATCAGCTGATGTGGAGGTGATGGTGTTGTAGCCCTGCAGAGTGTCAGATGTAGACGGGTTGTTCCTGGGCCGTGAGCAGGCGGTACATGGCTGCAGGCATAGTCTTCATATGGATCTGACAAAAACAACATATTACAGTATTCACCTTCACTGGATCACCGTTCATGTGTGCATCATATTTTTAAGATTATTAGTTTTGAGCAATTAGCTTAGCAACATGCTATCAGCAAAGCCTGCCATCAAAAACAGCCAGGTTTATTATAGTTAACGTAAGTGTGCGTTTACACGACACCATGTTTATTTAAAATGTGTATGCGCTTTGGCCGTTCATTTACATGACAACGGTTTTGAGGGCCTGAAAATGCAAACTTATAAAAACAGGTTTACAAGTGCAAGTTTTTGAAAATTATTCTTTTCAAAGTGACATCGCCAACTATTGGCCTGGCATGAATAATACAGCGCTTTTAGTCGTTTCGCAGATCTGTGTGAACGGTGATCATTCTGACAATGTTGTCGTCTGTGCATGAAACTCTTCTAAAATGCAAAGGAAAAACTTTTCCGTTTTCAGTATGTTGTGGTGTAAACACCTAAAACCCTAATATATATATATATATATATATATATAAATTTTGTTACTGGAAATAAAATAAATTTTAACAGAAATAAAATCAAATCTAAAAAACTTTAACTTATTTTATTTCATCTAGTTGCCAGAGCAACATTTCTAATCTTGAAATGAATAAAAACTATGTTTACCAACAATGTTTAAAAAAAACTGCTAAAAATGGCGTAAATGCAACAAAATTGCTAAAACTTAAAATAATAATAATAAAATACTTTATTTTAAATACTAAAACAATTACTAAAACTAAAACAGTATCTCAATGATCTAAATGAAGCAAAAATATATTTGTAATTATATAAAACCTTGTTGTTTGTGGTAAAATCACTATAAAGCACAGCATGAGGTGCTGTACTACTGTTATAAAATGTCAGTAATAGAAATATGATGAAAGCCAACCAATATGGAATATATTTTGAACTCTATTCATAAGGTTCTTCCATACAGTTCAACAGCAATTTACAGTTGCCAAGCAACATAGCAACTAACTGTATATATATAATATGCACATTTATATGAATCAGATATGTGTTCATCATGGCTCATCCAGAATTTAGAGTTGAAACTATCCGAAATCAAATTTAATGAAGTCATGATCTCAATTAGCGTTGAAAACGTGCATAATCTAATAGAACAAAAAAAATACTTAATTTATAAAACTGATTAAAAAACAGTCATAAAAAGCAGCATTTTACTAATTATTTGTCCTTTGTTCATTTTTAGAAATAATAAAATATTGGCAACAAAAATGAATAATGTAAAATGTCTTTCAGACTTCTGAATTATGACTGATCTTAATATTTAAAGTTTTTCATCTAGTTTATTTAAAGGGGTCATATGATGCGATTTCAAGTTTTCCTTTCTCTTTGGAGTGTTACAAGCTGTTCGTGAATAGATAAGATCCCTAAAGTTGCAAAGACTAAAGTCTCAAACCCAAAGAGATATTCTTTATAAAAATAAAGACTCGTCCACGCCCTCCTTAAACGCCTCGTTTAAACACGCCCCCACATGTCTACGTCACGATGTGGGAAGATTTGCATAACACCACCCAAATGTTCACGCAAAGAAAGAAGGCGTAACTTTATTGTTGCTGCCGCTGCCATGTTGTGAAGATGCTGTGTTTCGTTGCGAAAGCGAAAATACTTTGTTTGGTCTTCCAAAAGAGGACACGACTAGAAATCAGTGGTTAAGTTGTATTTACAACACTGTTCCAGAACAGTTCAA